GCCGCCACAGGGTTGAGACTCTATGCGGAGAACCATTGTTGCTTGCAGCTTAAAATATTAAATCATTAGACAGAGGCAATCAGAAGTATAATTTCACACAACCATGCTGAGCGGGGATCTACAAAGCCTAGTTGGCATCATTTTAATTAGGATAACCCATGTGCCGGTTTTTTCAGGGTTCCTGACCACTTTATCCCATCGTTTGAAACATTTTGAGGGATAACTCAGATGTACTGTCTTTGACGTGTTCAGAGATTTTACTAGTATTTTTCTCATCACTTTTGAAGTTTTGCTGAGAGTGGTTACAGTTTGTTGAAACCTTGTGTGAGAGAGGAAGAAAAAGTTATGTAAAAGTCCGTTCACGTAATATTGATTTTTGCCTGTCCAGCTCTGGCATTTTTAGAATTTCCTCATGGATATGCCGTAGGTTGGGAGAGCTTACTGAGTGAAAGAACTCAGCTGCAAGTTGGGGTCTCGATGATAACTTGGTTAAGCCTACCCGTATATTATTTTAAATCGCCTGGAGCCCCGAACTGAATGTGATTTCACACACTTGGTTAATGTCCCAGTACTTTGAAATTCGCTAGCAATCTGCACATCCGGCGCTAACTGATAACTTTCCTTAGCGGCTACCACGTCAGCTATCGGGAGCCGGCGTTTCAAACGTTCCAAGGTTATTCGTCGGTTGGGCTGTTAGTAGCTGTTTGACTCCCTGCCAGTCCGGGTGCTTGATCTCGCTACATAACGCTCATAGGGCCTGTCAGGCGCTCACGAGATGTTCGGAAGACGCGCTCTGTTCACCTGAAGAGGCAGGACGAGACTTTCAACCACCTTCGAGTTACAGCGGGCCCGATTTGTCGCCTTGTTTACATCCGCTTCGGCCGGAGGAGCCGTTGTCTCTAGGCCGACGGCTGTCTTGCTACCGGGCCGGCTGGCAGGCTTGGCTCGGCTGATGGGCCGGGACCAGCCGGTACGTCTGATGGGCCGGCTGGCAGGCTTGGCTCGGCTGATGGGCCGGGACCAGCCGATACGGCGCCCGTCCCGAGTTGGTCGGCCCGGCCGTCTGACCGGCTGTTACGGCGAGCGGACACAGCTGCCAGCGGGCCGCCGCTGACCGGCGGCGCGCTGGGTCAGTCCGAGCTGACGGACACATGGACGGAGCTGGCACAGCCACATGGCGGCTGTCTGGTGCCTGGTGAGAACTGACACATATACCCGGGGGGGGGGGGGGGAGCTGACAGTCACCTGGCGAGGACCTGCACGGGCACCTAGTGGGAGCTGACACAGTCACGTGATGGAAGCTGGCAGCAACCAATCTCAGTCAGCTCTTGGTCGGTAGGTCACCGGTCTGTATTATTGTGCGGTCTCGGGATGGAAAAGCAACACCCACTAGAATTATAATTGGGTGTTTAGGAAGGATACATCTGCAGGCAAGCTCAACAGACGTGGCTGCTGGCGAGGTCAAGCGAGCCCGCCGACTGCCAAAGTGGTGAAAGCCAGATGCCGTCACGCGAGGCTGGCGTGAAGTAATGGGCTACAATGAAGACGACAATAGCGGCTCGTTGAGATTCGGCGTGGTGGCGTATGCATCCCTGGCTTGTCAGCACTCGGACCAGGAGACCGTGCAGCTCTCCTCGGCTCGCGAGCTCCGCCGCGCCAGAGCTGGGCGCATGGATTCTTCCGTTTACTTTACCAGCTGCCAATCGGGAAGATATATGCGAGATTCGACTGCGTGACTGTGACGAAGGACCCTTTCCCTTGAAACGAGTGCCCCACTTCTACCCCGAGTCAGTCACTGTCGCCCCAGCACTTTACCAAGAGAGCTTTGCAAGCGCGGCAAGTTTACTGGGAGACGGGGCTGGCCGCTGTCGGCCACGGATACAAGATGTATCGTACAACAACCATAGCAACATAGCGAACGTTGTCAGTAATTCGTATTGACACAGTCTTGCTCTTAGGTATCCGAAGCATACCATGCATAATGCATGCCAAAGGATCGCTAGATGGTTACGTATGACACATCGTGGCTAACCGGTGACTTCTATTCAGGTAGCCTTCAGGCCTCAGAACACGGTGTCAGCAAGATACAGCAGTCAGCAGCAAAAACAAAAACGGCAGTTTGTGGTAGAACAGGCACGGAACTGTGATCCGAAGCAACTCCAATGGTAGTAAGTCGTCTAGAAACGAACAGCTTATGCCATTACAGGACGTCGACCTTGTTCGGCTGGAAATTTTGCTAACCTGTTCAAATAATCCTCCCCGTTTGCGCACTAGCATTATACACAAGACAATTATCATTGCTATTCCCGCTAGGAACGCATGAATATACTATGATGCCGCGATAAAAAGAAACCTTGCGGTTTAAGCACAGTAGGACATTATCGCCGTTCGAAATATCATCGCATCAGCTACCTGTCATATGGGAGTGATAGGCTTGTTAAACATGCATTATGCTTTTATCCTTACTTACGGCAACTTTAATCGCACAACCCATCATCGTTTTTCCATCGTACAGAGGGGGCTGCTTTGGAGCCAGGTAAGATGTAACAGCAACAGGTTCCATAAATGAAGTGCTGAATGCATCGCGGGCTCCAAAAATTTGCATTTACCGCACTCTCAATGGACAAGGAACTCCCAGGAATGAAGCAAAACATTCAGATAGCTATCGGAGACCATGGAAGTATCCGATAAATCAACGTCTCGTGGGACCTTGATATAGGCAGTCTTTCCGTTCCTGGTCTTCCGGCATTATGGGTTCGGAGTTCTTATGCTGAGCGTATTCTTATCATGAGTGACTCGCGATCATAAGCTCAGTTCGATAGGCATGCTGGGCGTGTTCTTATCTTGAGTGATTCGTGGTCACGAGTCACTCGTGACCAAGTACACCTTGAAACGCCAAGATTGTCACTATAATTAACCTTCGCTCTCCTGTCGTTCAACTACTATCTCCTCGTATATTGAAGGTGGGTAACTCAGCATAAGAACTCTGAATTTCTTTTATCGTAGGTACAGCGCAATGCGTAATGGTCTTTCCTGACAAGCCGTGTCTGCGTGATGCCACACGTTACTACCATGAACGACCGCTGACAGGTTTTCTCGGTACGAAGGAATCCCCCAGTGGGGTCCATGTCTATTTTGATGCCATTTCATAAGGCCAAGACACAGAAACCATTCAATGTGCCGAAAAGTTAAAGGGGCTCGGACCATACCGACCTCAGTGGTGGCCTCGCCGCGTCAATGGGTGCTGTATGACCGCGCAGCTGAGGCTAATACGCGTCCCAATAGCCGACCAATGTCTGTCTGAATGGCGTGCGGGACATGCTCTACGACGTACTCACAGCTGAATCTGCGTGCCGAGGGACAGCTGACTAAAAGTCGACGCTACGCTTTCATTAGGTCGAGATGAAGACAAAATAAGATTCAGTGGAATGTTTCACGGGTGGGGATATTGAGGCAAGCACCAAATATGATGGAGCAAGCTTTGTTATAACTATTAGTGTGCTTTTATGTGGAAAGGCTGCTCTAGACAGCACAATGCTCTGTTTTGTAAACATGCTTCTCAATGCGTCGTGGTTTGATTACGTCAAACCATGACGCGATCTTGGATGATATGAACACTGGGCGCTGCGACTTTGGACGTTTTCCTGGCCCTAAACTTCTCTCTCTCTCTCTCTCTCTCTCTCTCTCTCTCTCTCTCTCTCTCTCTCTCTCCTCTCTCCTCTCTCTCTCTCTCTCTCTCTCTCTCTCTCTCTCTCTCTCTCTCTTCTCTCTCTCTCTTCTCTCTCTCTCTCTCTCTCTCTCTCTCTTCTCTCTCTCTCCTCTCTCTCTCTTTCTCTCTCCCACCCTCCCCCCTCTCTCTCCCTCTCTCTCTCTCTCTCTCTCTCTCTCTCTCTCTCTCTCTCTCTCTCTCTCTCTCTCTCTCTCTTCTCTCTCTCTCTCTCTCTCTCTCTCTCATCCCATCACCCTAAGTCATCCGGAAAACGCGTGGAACGGAGAAATAATAAGGTGACGGTAAGACGTCCGGTGTTCAAGGTTGTCATCGCTTCACCATGTAAAGTAACATCCAATATACGTCCCACGTGCGGTAAGATCATGCGAAACATGCCGTCAGCTATGCTAATGTTCTGCAGTGCCCACCTGTGCTAAAACGGCGGCATCTCGCGAGCTCAGTTACGAGCAGCCAAATCTATAGATATTTCACTCGCACATAAAACACTGATGCCTCACGTGCTAGACGGACATGCCACACTGCCGTTCCAGATCGTTCCTTGCCCACCCCTCAGCGCTGCCGCAGGTGTCAGGGTCGGCACGTCCGCTCGCGCTGCACCTTGCCTGCTGCAGCCTGGCACGGAGTGCCGCGGCGCGGTACCGGCATGGTGTACTCCCAGGACTGAGTCTGCTTGCGCTGCACCTTGCCTGCTGCAGCCTGGCACGGAGTGTCGCGGCGCGGTACCGGTATGGTGTACCCCCAGGACTGAGGCACGTCCGCTCGCGCTGCACCTTGCCCGCTGCAGCCTGGCACGGAGTGTCGCGGCGCGGTACCGGCATGGTGTACCCCCAGGACTGAGGCACGTCCGCTCGCGCTGCACCTTGCCCGCTGCAGCCTGGCACGGAGTGTCGCGGCGCGGTACCGGCATGGTGTACCCCCAGGACTGACGAGACGCCTCTCACATTGCCGATGCTGCGACCGAGGCCCGAGACAGTGCAATGCATGGAAGAGGGAACGAGTTGCAAAGCGTCTGGTAGCGTTTTCCGGGGATGTTAATAGATTGTGGCGGAGAGTACATTTTCGTAGTCACGGCTGACTTTCCGCCATGTAATGTTATGACAGCTAATTTGTTGTGTTACCATTGTTTCGACAGCTGCGCTGTGGCATTTTGGCACACATCACTCCGGCATATCGCGCAGATAATTTTACAGATATCTCCAAGAGAGATTGGGGCTTGGGTGCCAGGAACCCTCAACATAAGACCGATGCCCAAGGCCCGGGGATTCCTCACCTGCCGTGTACCGCCGGATGTTGGTCTGGGATCGAGCGCACCAGAGTCAGGTGCACCTCACGTATCGCCGACGTGACCCTCACGCAGCTCGTGCGGGCCGAGGAGCCGGTCGTCAGTCTTGCCACGTGCGGCTCCGTCTGAGGTCGGCGGAGGACTGAGACGCCCCGCCTGCCGCCTGTCGCCTCCCCCCCCCCTCCCCCGCCCCACCCCTGCGGACCGCTCGGTCTGGAGCAACAAACGGTCGCCCCGCCGACCGTTTATAACGCGGTCGGTGGGCGCCCGGTGCCGCGCGCTCCCAAACAAGGAGGCTCGGCTGCCGCGGCTGCTTCAGAAGTCATACGCTTTCAAGAGCGCCTGTACTGGCTTCGTCTGGTCGTCTAGAGCAGCCGTGCTATCGGATACAGACCACCTGACCGCGGCACTCGTCAGCGCTGGAGCCCGCCCCCGCGCGGTCCCTGACGCGGGGGCGGGCGCCCCCAGGCGTCCGGCGGTGCCGCCGCCCGAGCCTGTCTCGACGCGACGGGCGCTGACCGCGCGGCGGTGGACACCGGGGTGTCGCATCACGTTTCTGGCCGGACCCGAGCGCCGAACAGGGCCGGCCAAAGAGCGGCGGCGGCTCCACTGCACCGGCTCTGCGGCTGGCTGCAAGCCCCACCTCATGCCGCAGCGCCTTCCGCATGAACGGTTCCACACCCCTC